GCTTGGTAAGAAATGTACGCATTATCCTGCCCATGCAATTGTAACCCCTCTGTACAGTTTGTTCACAAATAAAATAAAATAAAATTTTAAAAAAAATACACAAAGGATTCCTATAAGGAGTGACTCATTCTGGAGAGTATCCTTTGCCCCTTTACTTGCTTCAACCAAGTGCTGCTTGGAATACAAACAGAACGGCTAAAACTTTAGCAACTGTCTTGGTCTTTAAGGTAACTTTAAAGACAGAAAAAATCGTGGGGTTTGAAAGAGAAACAGATGGAGTCAAATCTCTGGTACCCAAGAACCACCCACAGGCTCTGGCTTATGTATAGCTATACCTCTTTTGTCTAAGCTATTTCATTTATTTTCTGATATATGCAGGTAAACAAAGTCCTAGTTGATAGAGTGTAGAGTTTTCCTGTTATCTTGATATATCCCACCATCAGGGGTAAGTGGATTTGAATGCCATAAGTTACTGGAGGGTGTGGGAGGCAACAATATGAAATGATGGCAAAGAAACTTGTGTTTCTTCTAAAGCATGTCCAAGGTAGATCTATTGTAGAAAGAAAATAAAGGCAGCATTCTTTCTTCTTCCCTCTACATCCATCCACACTACTAGACTCCTCCTTCAAGAATACAGGTTTCAGGGACTACCATTAGTATGAGAATTGGATTAATGATAAAACTAGTAGGAGTTATGAGTAAGCCAGAGATGCACAGTGCACTTCAAAATATCATTTCTATGGGAACATGTATCCTTTTTTAATGGCATAAAACTTATTTAATGAAATTATAGCAAAATTTCCCTCCACATTAGGGAAACAAATGAATATACAAGTACAGTAAACATTTACAACCTCAAGAAGACATGACAAAAAAGAGCCTCTCCACGTTGTATTATAGTTAAAATACCAAGTATACAGAACCAAGAATGGGTACTGAATGAAGCAGGATATAAGGGTCAACTTATTTAGGGAACACATATTCTTAGTCTAAAAAAATGTGCAATTAATATAGAAACAAAGAGCCTCTATTTATTTTTTAAAAATGGATTTTATTTCAAGGCAAGTAATTGTCACAGACATTTAAATATATACTATGAAAGCTTTTTACTTTATAAAATGTATAGATAGACCAAAGAATATAAAATAATTATTATGGGTCACTATTAAAATTGTTCGGTATAAACAAATATATGTCATTGATAATGAGATGTATATGGATCTATATGTAATATAATATATTATGGATCCATATTTATGTAATACATGCTCACACATGCTGTTTGTCTGTCAAAGTTTATACTCACCAATTTTATCCTTGTGGAAAATAACTTTAAAAAGCAAGAATTAAGCATTTTTTATACCTATTCTTGCCCAACAGTTTATTACTAGCACTGATGTGACAATGAAGTTTATAATATACAGCAATTACTTATGTAGAGCCTTGTTCCTCCTGATTGGTAATAAGCTACTAGTGTCCATAAGAATTTACTGGCCAGAAAGACATGGTATGTGGAGTGTAAAATAGGAATTAATGTCATTTAATAAAGAAATAAACTAAAATATGAGTGTTTAAATTTTTTACTTTTATCACATTTTTTCTGCTATTACTAGTCTTCACTGTTTCTTCTCTAAACATAATTAGCATCCAATTCTAAATGCTTGGCACAGGATAATATTATTCACCATTTTATGTTAAATATATTCTTGAACTCTTTATGTACAACCCAACCCTTTAACATAAATGGATTAAACTAGAGACAGCTCATTAGATATATGAACTGGAAAATATTCTTGAAGCATACTTCTAATGTGATGTAATTATTTTCACAAATATATTTATATTTGTGAAATTTGTGAATTTATATATATTCAAGCATATTTTCCCCTTTAATATGAGCCACTCAGAAAGCTCTTGGCTTAGTAGCACAAAGTACTTTGGTAACTATTTTTATTTTTATTTTTTGTTGGTCGTGGGGCTTGAACTCTGAGCTTGGGGTGCTGTCCCTCAGTTCTTCAGCTCAAGGCTAGCTCTCCACCACTTGAGCCACAGCGCCACTTCTGGTTTTCTGGTGGTTTATTGGAGATAAAGAGTCTTACAGACTTTCCTGCCCAGGCTGTCTTTGAACCTCAATCCTCACATCTCAGCCTCCTGAGTAGCTAGGGTTACAGGTGAGAGCCACTGGCGCTTGGCTGGTAACTATTCTTTTGAATTTCAAATTATACTTCTATTAAACTGTTAAAATCACTGCATCTTGGAACTGGATGACATTTTAGAATTCTTCAAAAATAGATGTGGAGCATAATCATGTAGGGTCTAAACTCAATAGATTTATTGTCAGTACTTTGTGGTGGAGCAAAAGAACCTTATTTCCAATAAGGAATCTCAGTGTTTCTGTATATCCTAGTTTTTCTCCTTGGTTGGCAATTCAGTCATATGTATGATCAGGCCGACGTCTCATGTAAACACATAACCCTAAGAGGTAAACACATTAACCCTAACAGAGGCTTTTCCTCAGCTAGGATACCATGGTGACGTTTGGAAGATGGAGTGGAAAGGGAGATTCCTGGAATGGCAGGTGGAGATTGTACATGAGCAGCATAGTTCAATAGCTATGTACATACGACCATATAAGATGATGCTAGGCAAAATGAACTTCAAGATATAGAAACAGCAGGTTTCTCTTTGTGTTGTTGTTTTTAATATACTATGCAATTTCTTTTTGTCTTTTGTATTTTTCCCCTATGGTTTATTCCCTGTTGTCACAGTATTTGATTTTGGAACTCTGGGTATGGTATATACATTTATCTGAATTAGGGAAGGAAAGGGATGGGTTACAACAAAATGGTGAGACAAAGGACAAAGGGCGAAACAATGCAACAATATGTTGGAAATTAACTGTACAACTTGGGAGGAGGATGGGTGGAAGGAAAAGTGGGAGAAAAATGAGGAAGGGGGTAACAGGTTTGAAAGAAATGTAGTCACTATCTTATATATGTAACTGTAACCCCTCTGTACATCACCTTGACAATAAAATTAAATTAAAAAATAAAAACAGAATTATTTTAGGAAATAAAAAGAAAGAAGTAATCAGTGCTGGAGAAAATACTAAACTGTAAGGACCTTTCAGAACTAGGGCTGAGAGAAATTATGAATTCTTACAATAGGAGATTCAAGGACAGAAGATTTTAACTGAGTTGATGGCATACTATTAACTAAATGAAGAACTGCAGAAAAAGTATG